CAATATGCTTATGAAAGTTGGACATCGAATAAAGATGACCAAAGAAGAATCGATGCATTTGAGCCACAGTGCTGGCAAAGAACATCGAAAGTACTGTCTTGGAAAAAGTACAACTAGAATGCTCCTGAGTGGCAAGGATGAAGAGACTTTGCCTCATGTACTTTGGACATGTGATCAGGAGAGTTTAATCCTGTGGAAGAACATCATGTTCGGTAAAGCAGAGGGAGACCGAAAACAAAGGCCCTTGACAAGAGGGATTAACACCAGTGGCTACAACAGTGGGCTCAAACCTTCATTGTGAAGATGGTGCAGGACTGGGCCGTATCTCGTTATGTTGTGCCTAAGCCAAGGTCACTATGAGTCAGAACCAACTCGACCACACTTAACAATAACAGTAACATGCTGAGTGAAACGAATCCATCACAAAAGGATAAGTATTATATGTTTTATACAATACTTATACACTGTCATAAAGGAAAAATCAAGAGTTGTTCAAGCCAAAAGAAATCGACTTTAGGTGTTTCTGAAACACACAGATTCCCAGGCTGCACCTCCAGAGGTTCTGAATTCAGTGGGGCTAACTGAGTTCCCAGGTGATTCTGATGAGCAAGTAGACTTGGAATTTTCCTAGTCGTGGTCATGGCCACTCCTGCTGACCTTGAGCCCCTTCAAGTCTAGAAATGAACTCATCCCCATTCATCAATGTCCAGCCAAACCACAGACATGTCTATAAGAGACTGTAGAAGCCATGAGGCCGTAAAGATCCACAGCCTCAGAAACCCAGAGAGGCAGTTCCATAGGCCACTGTGAGTCAGAATCATCTCCATGGCAATGAGGTTGGTTGTTGGAGTTTATAAGGAGAAGAATAACTTTAGTGAAGTATAAACATAATAACCAGGCATTAGAGACCTAAAGGGGAGCATTTAACCAAGGACAATTTTTTTAACTCATTTTATTGGAGGCTCATACAGCTCTTATCACAATCCACACATACATCCATTGTGTCAAGCGCATTTGCCATCCTCATTTTCAAAACATTTTCT